TATATGTATAATTGACACAACAGTAGCAGAGCATTTCTCTGATAGCTGTAAAGGATACGGCAGAAATAGAAATTCTAAAGTGTTCTGACTTGTGCTGCATTCAATCAATGCTAATTAAGCTGTGGGACACAGCAAGTTTGATGTGATTATTGAGATTCTACTCATCTTCCTCTTCACTCCAGGGAGCCAACCCTTTGCTCTTTCTCCCCCTTCTGACCCCACCCACCCCTTTACCCTGATCACCCGCGTATCGATCCAATCCTCGTCTGCTTTCTCAAGCTCCTTCGCTCAATTGTGCAAACACTGGGAAAGTGATCTATGACTCCCAGTGCCACTCACTGGTTATGTGCAGTGTGCTGTGTGAGGAATTTTGACTTCAGAAGTGTAAAGCAGCTTGAGACACAAGCATAAAACATATTTTTATGTTTAATTTGTCCAATATCTTTGTGTCTCGGTATGGCCTGAACGATGTCAGCAGCAGTGTTTGAGTGTTTCTTCATTGATCGATAATCTGCTCTGCTGTCCTACAGGCACCGAGAGAGACCAAGCTTCACTGCATCTATTGGAAGCTAATTTTCCAAATTTCAATTAAAAGTTTATGTTCCAGCCATCCATCAGCACAAATCTTGTATAGAACATTGATTGTAATCTCAGCCAGTGCTTGGTCAGATATATCTGTACAGTACTGTAAGCACAGTAAGGACCAAAATCAAGATGAACTTCAGATCTTCTGTATTTGCTGTGCACTTTAATCTTCTCAGAAAAATGCAACTGAGCATCCAAAAAGCTGCAAATTAATGAATTTTTAGATTGTTTTGCAGCTACAGAGTACACATATGGGTTGCATCAAAAATATTTGTAGTTTTCATGTATCTAAGGCATTCTGATACAGTACACAGATTACATTCATTTTAACATCATACACATTTGTACAAAATACTTGATACAAAATCCTACTCATATTAAAAATGTATTTAATCTTAGTTATGTCAGGCAGGAACTACTGCTCTTCTTTTGCCTCTAGAATCTCATGCTTCACTGAGATTTGATGTGATTATACTGTTATCTGATACATTCATTTATCTTCCAATGTCCAGCCATGGGTTAACTCTCAAGACTTGTGTGGCGCAGTTAGGGGAATGTAACCTCATAGACGGGTTATTTAAATGCATCATGTTTCAGTGATGGAGCAGCAGTGTTTCCAGAAGAAGACATAATGTAACACTTCACCTCATCAAGTTCAGACGGTGTTTCTGTTTTTTTACAGGACAGCCAAAGGTCATTTTGGCGTGCTGAGCCCTGTGAAGGAGAAGTTCTTCCAGAGAGCCAGTTAGAGATAAAGATAGTGGCACACCTGAAGGACACGATTCACTTCCAGGACAAGCTAGAAGTGTCCATACAGGACAATAAAACACTTATAGTCTCTGTGTCGGCTACAGGAACTGGAACAACGATCATCAGTGACAAGCCTTTTGGGCCCAGTCTTGACCTGGGCACATATTTCAGGTAGAAAACAAGATCTACCACTCATAAATGTGGCACTGGTACTGTATCTAAGCTTTCATTTGTCCTCTTGATGTTTTTTTAAGTCATAATTTATGCAAGTACTTCTTCAAACTGACCAATTGTGGCCAACGAAGCCACCTGATGTTCTGGAAGACTGATGGCCTCCATCCAAGGAGAAGCATTCTACCCCCCATCAGCTCTCACAAACAGAAAGATACTCTGAGCCATGGATCTTTACTTTCCACTAACAGAGAACATTCAGCTCTGAGCCTCAGCCCATCTCGTGTAGAGCTCTTTCCTGGCGACTCTGTTGACATGGTGCTCACAGCATCCTCGGATTCCCCTAAGGTGAAATTGTTTGCCTTTAGGCTTTAAACTGAATAAATACATCAGAGTTTATCAATACAACTTGTTCATGTGCATGACATCAGATGTTTGGACCACTTCTGTAAACTTGTAGATTGTTAAAGAACGTCTGGTGTGCCACGGCATCATTGGCCTACAGGGCAGTCGAGAGACCATCATGTCTGTGAACGTAATATGTCGCTTTGTGGAGCCGTGGCTCAGTATTTCCTCAAAGCAGTTGAAATTCTATAGAAAGAAGGTAAGTGATCAACATAACTCATAAACATTCAACTAATCTTGACAAAATATTATCTGATGAAGGAGGCTTTTATAAGTTTACTCCGGAACTGTTTTTCAAAAGGTAAGCAAACATTGGGGATTGTGTTTTACACATATAAATGCATTATTTTTGTATTATATTTAAATATTTGGCATATTTAACAAAGTTTATGATTAAGATACGATAATAGTCTTTCTAGATTCAAAAACCTGACCTATGCTAAGCTAAAATGTCTTAAAAGGACTTATACGTTGTGAATTTATTCTGCTTTAGAGGTATAGACTGCATGGGGTTAAAAGTTGTACTATTTTTGTGATTTCTCGCTATTTTCTTTGTATATTTTTTATTAAATATAGATGTATTTGATTTGCAGGTGAAAGGGAAGAGCCTGCAGCCTGCGTATGAAAAGCTGGTTTTGAAGAACATGTCACCCCTGCCTCTGTCCATGGAGCTCTCGCTTGTTGAGCCTTTCTTTCTGTGTGATGCTCAATTAGAAAACAGCTCAAATACATCTAAGGTATTTCACTTCTGTCAAATTCAAGGCTGTTTTTATTAGTTTTAAGTTTAAGAGAAGAGCTTAGTTTTTTTTTTTTTTTTTCTCCAGTCTTTGGTTTTAGGTGATGAAAGTGAGGTGGAATTGTGGGTTTGCTTTGATCCAAACTTTTGTAAGGACCAAGTGTCACAGACTATAGAGGAGGTAAGTTGAATGCTATTGTTGCAGAATGTTTTGGTCTCAAAGCAAAACCTGGTGACCCTCAGAAAAAATGTTCATCTTGATAATTTAAAATAAATAAAAAATAAAGTGAATGCTTTCCTCCTCTCGCTCTCTGTTATGCTTCAGCTCTACCTTAATATGTTCAACTAGAGACATCATGATTTATATTCTGCATTATCTAATTTATTTGTTTAAAGGGGTCTTAAACTGTAGAAATATATGGAATTTTTGGGTTTAGTATAATTTTTATTGATACTAAAATAATTGACTAAATAATTTCTGACATTTTTCTGCAGCAACTTAAAATATGTTTCCTTGAACACCCACACCGAGAAACAGTGGCGCTGCATGCCGAGGTCCACCATCCCAACCTTCACTTCTCCTCTATGGCCGTGGACTTCGATTGTGTGTACAACGACCTAAAGACCAGTAAAATGATCACGATCACCAACTCCTCCCCACTGCATGTCTCCTACCACTGGGATTTTCTGGACAACTACAAACAGATTTACATCAGGTATTTTTACACAGAAATTGTTAGAACATATAAACCATGTGAATATCTACACTGTGGCTTTTTGACAGTTTGGTTGTCACAGATTGCATTTGTTGCATGGATGCATTGTAAAGTACAGCCTCTTATTACAAACCAGTCTAAATTTCAATGTGTTATGTACAAATGGTGTTGGGTCTTTCAAATTATGTTTTACTTTCCTAATTACAAATATGTCCACCTGCCAAAATATGACTGACTTGAAGTCAAAATTAAAGGAGGCATTTTCATTTTTTGTTCTCCATCTCTTCTGTGCCAGTACATATCAGCCACAACTTTTTAAGAAAAAGTCAATCCATCTGTAAGCCATAAACATTAAAGTGAGTGCTTGCTGATTTTTTTTATTTTTTTTAGAGTTGCAAGGTGGCATTAAAATAAATTAATTGCATTTCACATTTTTAATGGGTAAAATTTGTTCAAAATCAACTCAAGCTTTACCATCAGTGTTCCTTATGTGCAAGATATACAGAAAATTCAAATTGCAGTCAACTCTAATCCATGCTGCTCAAGAAAACAGTACTTTTTAATCATAATGTGAACAACAGAAACAGAACAATAAAGGTTAAACAGAAACCTATGTTCTTGGTTTAAGTAAGAAAAGCATAGATACAGGAGTGAGCTAAACAAAATTTCAACACACAAATCACCTGTTGAAACACTTAGAGGTTCTGCTGATAACTACTAACACGATGAGATGCAGTGGCAGTGAGTCTATGTGTAACATTCTTTGCAGCCTTTTTATGTCAATGGTAAAATTGTAGTTAAAGACCTAAAATAGAGCCAAATCAAGTTCAAGTATCTTTGCCATTCACATCACGTGTGGTACATAAGGTGGAACGAAATTGTGTACTCACGGTCCCAGTTACACACAAAAATAACAAAAATGTAAAGTATGAAAAAAAGCAGTAAATAAGGATCTAAGATATACACTGATATACGCTAAACGAACGCTAAACAAATATGCTAAAAGATCTAAGATATACGCTAAACATTAATAATGTAAAATAATACAGTATATTAAACAGCAGCCTGATGTATGTGTGAAAAGTTGAAATGCTTGAAGGCCAGCTAGTAATTCATTCAGATCAGACAGATTAGAGGAAAATCCTAAATAAATCAATGTAATTTACACCATCAGGCTTATTAAAGGCAAACAAAAACTTAAAACAAACATGAATCACACATAAAATGGAAACTAAAAGTAAAAAGAGACACTGGAGTATGTTGAGGTAAGTGATAGCTGATTAAATGCAAGAATGGTGAGTAAAAGGTCAGCACCAAAGTACAAACAGATTGATAAACATCCTTCTATTCATTATCGTTTCCCCCTTCTAGTGCTAGTGTATTTTTATTAATGCATTTTTATTAACATATTTTTATTAACGTTTTTCTTAGTTCATATCTTAGATCTTATTACTGTTTTTCTTTTTACGTTTTAATACTTTTGTTGGATGTACTGTAACTGGGACTTTGTCTACACAATTTTGACAAATGAACCTTGAATCCTTCTTTCTTTTTGGGTCGCGGGGATCACTGGTGTCCAATCCAGCAGTCACTGCAAGAGACAGGGTACACCCTGGACAGGTCTCCAGTCAATCACAGGGACACGGAGACAAATGAGACAAACAACCATTCATGCACTCATTCACACCTAGGGACAATTTAGAGTTACCAATCAGCCTAACATGCATGTTTTTGGTCTGTGGGAGGAAACCAGAGTACCTGGAGAAAACCCACGCATGCACGGAGAGAACATGCAAACTCCACCCAGAAAGGCCCCTGGCCGGGATTCGATCCGGCAGTCTTCTTGTTGAGAAGCGACAAATTTGCTAATTGCTCTACCTTTTTTCATAATAAATGTGTGAAGTAAAAAAACAAACAAACAAACAAAAAATTTGTTTCACCTTATTTGAGCTGGACATTTGAAATAAAGTGTTCCTACTATTAACAAAGTCCATGCTCAATAATCCAGGTATACAATCCAACATTTTTCAGTCAGGTCATCTGGACAGTTTCTTTTTTTGTGCTGAAACATTTCGCCTTCGATACGGAAGGTTTCATTAGTCAAGGAAACACACAACACAAAACTGATTCTTCCCCCAACAGCTTACTCCAAAGTGGAACAAACCAGTTTTGTTGGTGCTAAGATGGTCTGTTTGGTACGCCCCCTCCTCCATTGCCAGCCCTCTTCCTTGTTGACAGTTGTGTCAAACTGGTTTTATACCTGGATTATTGAGCATGGACTTTGTTGTTTTCAACCAGTTTAACACAACTGTCAACAAGGAAGAGGGCCGACAATGGAGGAGGGGGCATACCAAAGAGACTATCTTAGCACCAACAAAACTGGTTTGTTCCACTTTGGAGTAAGCTGTTGGGGGAAGAATCAGTTTTGTGTTTTGTGTTTCCTTGACTGATGAAGCCTTCTGGATCGAAGGCGAAACGTTTCAGCACAAAAAAAGAAACTGTCCAGATGACTTGACTGAAAGATGTTGGATGTTCCTACAATTCATTAATTTTTTTCTTGTAATGAGACATCGGCCCGCAATCACCACCATCGAGGAAGTGCAACACTTTCATTCCCATTTTCTTGGGTTTAAGAGGATTAACTTTTATTCTGGGTTTTATATTTTGGAATGTGATTAGTTTTGTGAGAAATACCAACAGTAAAAGTGGAACGACTTTTTCTACAGAACTATACGTTTGTATAGTAATATACACAACCATTCAAAACAAAAAAATTGTGCTAGCAATTTTTGCAGCATTTGATCCTTAACTCAGATGATATTTTCAAAATTAGAATATTTTTATTCAGTATCAAAAGGCATGAATCCTATTCTCTGTTGGTCCTACAGGAGTTTAGAAAAAAATTATCAGTAGGATACTGAATAGACAAAACTCAGAGACAAGAAGAGAATGGATCTCTGCTGTACGTTAAAACTTCCCTCTGGGATGTTTCAGCACTGCGGCTATACATTTAACCCTCTGAACTGAACAGAGCCAGATCCATTATAAATTCTCTGGGGACGACACATTTACTGATTGTGTATTTTATAAACTTTATAGCGCTCCTATTTCAAGCCTTTTCTTTGGCTTCCTTGGAATAAGCTGTGAATACTGTAGTAGTCAGTCTGTGGCCTTGGCCCAAGTAACTGCAATAGCTCTGCAAGATTTATCACCCTCAATCAGCTTTTTCCACTCTGCCTCCTCCATCTATTTGTTTTCTTCCTTTTTGTCTCTCTTTCTTCTCCTCTCAGGGTTTTATCGTGCTTATTTTTTTATACCTCTCCCCACTCCTGCTCCTCTATCTCTGCTTCTGTTTCAGTCTTTAACCTTATCCAACTCGTTGTCTCACTCCCTCTCTGATGGTGACCTCTCCTAACAATCTTCCTCACTGACCGTCATGCTAATTAAATCAGACCTCGCTACTCCAAAGTCTCTTTCTCCTTTACAAAACCTGCTCTGTCTTGCCACGTTGTGCTAATTACATCCCTATCAGTAATTACACCACAACCCCTGGAGATGGGATTGCCAGCAGGGCAAACTCTTTTCTATCCATTTATGGTAACAGGATACGTGTAGATACTGCAGCATGTCCATCTGAAAGACAAGAACTAGAAAGCTTGTTCAACTGTTTTGAATGTCCTTAATCTTAATAGATGGATGATATATTAAAATACTGCACATCTGTCAGGCTGATCACTCAGGATAGGAACTAAAGAGTAACTGGTGCACAGCTGAAGGTCATGATCAGTAGGGCTGCTCAATATATCGAACATTTATTGTCGACACAATATCAGTATTATAAAGGACTGCAACAAATCAGAGACCAGGGCTATTCAATGTCAGCTGTTGGGGTGTCCAAATACTAGATTTTTTTTTCTAACCAAGTACAAGTACTTCAGTTTGGGTACTTGCTAATACTGAGTAGTTAATGAGTTAGAACATAAACATTACACAATTATTTTTTAGGAACACATTTTTTTCTTGTTAAGGACACAGCAGACAGTCTTCTGTCTTAACATCACCTGTGTCTATCTTCAAATTTTTTAAAACTGATGACATTTTTTATTTTTTTGTACTCGGTTTCTTGCAAAATACAAGAGGAAATGATGTCACCAAGTATTAAAGTGGTATCTGTCCAAATAATTGAGATGTTCCTATGAGTACAAATGTGAGTACTTGAGGCTTTACCTGCTTCTTCCTTTTTGGGTCATGAGGATCAACACTGGTGCCCATATCTAGCAGTCACTTGCATGAGGCGGGGGACACCTTGGACAGGTTGCAAGTCCATCACAAGGACACATAGAGACAAATAGACAAACAACCGTTCACTCTCTCACTCACACCTAGGGACAATTTAGAGTTACCATTTTGGTATGTGGGAGGAAACTGGAGTACCTAGAGAAAACCCACGCATGCACAGAGAGAACAAGTAAACTCCACCCAGAATGGCCCTCTGGCCAGGATTCAATCCAGTGACTTTGCCACTGAGTGGCAGCAGTTCTACCAACTGTGCCATTGTGCTGCCTAGTAATAAAATGTATTGATGAAAAAGGTAATTTACATTTGAAACAACAGGATTTCATTGCTATTGCATGATGTATTGAAATTGTACCTACCTAAAAGTAAAGTTAAATGAAGAAGAAAAACTGAATTAAATCAAAGATAATATTAGTGCTGCCAGGCTAGCGGAAAAAACCCCCATTCAGATAGAACAACTATCTTATTTATTTGACAATAAAATCCTTCATAACTATAGTCTTGGTTTCCATTCCCACCTATTCTCTGACAGCCCGCTACAAGTGCAGCATGGTGTTTGTTGTTAGAGAGGAAACAGGAAGACGGTCACATCTCACTGTGCACGGCAGCAGGACAGGATGGAAGAGAAATAAGCATAAAGGAGAAAGTCTTTGAAGACTTCTTGTGTTAAGCTGAGCAGTTGTTATACTGGCTCACCATCTGTTTATCTGTCTGCACTGGTGGGTTTTAAAGTCCCCTTTTTTCATGCATGTGTTTCAAGGCTCCTTTTTAACCCTACTCTCCAATTCCACTGTTTCCTTTTTAAATTACTATGGTCTGAAAAATCCTGAATAGGTTTCATCCCTGGGAGAGGAACCACCAGTGCACCCTGCTGGTTAGTTTCTTACATTTCACATTAGCTGACACAACAGTAAAGTAGTACCACATTGTTGGAACTGTACATACTGAAAGTTCTCACACATGCACACACCTGTGCACAAACACTCTAACGGAAATAATAAACCCACTATTTGGTGGTTTGATATACTGTAAAACTTTTGCTGCCCAGCTTATATATGTAGCGTCACTCCCTAAACCTTTTCTTTCCCATGTTTATTCAGCACTTCACTGCAATCTATCTTGACCTGTTTCCTGCTGCCTGCCTATTAAAATTCCTCTTAATTATAGAACACTCTGTTTAATTAACTTGATGGATGCACCAAGTGTGATCCCACGGGGGAGCAGAGAGAAAAGCTGTGAAGGAAAAAGAGAGTCTGACTTCTTTGAGTTGTGGGTGCAGAATAATGTGTTTTTCGCCTCATATTACACTATGTGTGAATGATGCAGGACACACAAGACAAGCTCATGTTTATCATTTACTGCTCTGCTCGTCTGTTTTTAATGTGTTTGGTTACATTTTTCCTACTTCTTGGTACTGAATAAAGATTCTCCCATTTAGTAAGACATTTTCTGCCATTTTCCCTTTACAATGGAAATTAATGGTAATTAACTAATGGTATGTTTTATTTCTTGTCTGCTTTCACAGAGACACAGCCAAGAAACAGATGAAGCAGAAGCATTCAGAGAGTCTGAGTGAATCATGGAGGAGTTCTTCTTCAACGCTCTCTTCGGTTTCCTCACTTCTTCCCAGCCCTGAGCCGGGTGCAGATGAGCAGAGCAGTGCACCACGCCCTGCACATGTTGAAGAGGTAGACAAATGTGCATTTAGGGTTTCACTTTGATTTAAAAAAAAATTCCAGCAGCTAATGAGCCAGTCATCTCATGTGTTGATACTGCTATGGAGGGAAACACGTGTATGCACTCTAAACCTGTGCACATGTGTTATTTTTGCACAATGTGGAGGGTTCTTTCTGCAGTCAGACTGTAGACTCTCCTACGTCATTACTGCTTTCTGTCACGAAAGGCGGGTTGAGATAATGGATGGATTTTAATTAAACTGTTAGGAAACTATCATTGGATGAACATGTACAACTGATTAATTTTAGAAATAAGCCTGATTCCAGATGGCCACCACAGTTAATTATCTTAAGAAAACAAAAATGGCTATAACTCAGTCAAGTCTACAGATAGTGAGCTAAAGTAATGTGTCTTCAATAGTGTGTCTTACTATTTCTATGCTGATGACATTCAACTATACTGTTCCTTCTATGACTCAGAATTACACAAGTTAGCTGAATTGCCATCGTAAATTGTATTTCCCATGTTAAGGCCTGGCTAGCTAACAATTGCCTTCAGTTAATTTCTAACAAGACTGAAACCCTCATCATTGTTCCTGAACAGAAAGTTCCTTGGATCAAGCAACACCTCAGTTCTCTGGGCTCCTCTTCTCAGTCGAGTCTCAGAAACCTTGGTGTTCTGTTCGATCGGTCAATGTCTTTGGACAAACATTCAAAGCTTTTGGTAAAAAAACCCTGCTTTTATCATTTGAGAAATATTTCTAAACTGAGGGCAATGTTTTCCAAATCTGACCTGGAGATGACTGTTCATGTTTTTATTTCTTCTAATTTAGATTATTGTTATTCCCTTTTTGCTTGTTTTAATAAATCTGCTGTCGCTCATCTCCAGTTGGTCCAGAACACTGCTGCGAGGCTTTTAACAGGAACTAATAGAAGGTCACACATCACACCGGTTTTATCCGTTCTTCATTGGCTACCCATTGAATTTAGAATTAATTACATTTTTTTAGTCTTGCCTTTAAGAGCTTTAAATGAACAGGACCCCAATATGTCACTGAAATGTTGATTCCTTATTCTTCAGCTCACACCCTTTGGTCTTCAGCGCTGAACTTTCTAAAGGTCCCTAAGACCCGATTTAAAACTCAGGGTGACCTATCCTTTCAGGCCGTAGCCCCCAGGCTGTGGAATGCCCTACCCATGTCTCTTCAAGTGGTCGTCTCCATTGATTCCTTTAAAAAAATAGCTTAAGCCATTTTTATTCAGACAAGTTTTTAGTTAAATCCAATAATTTTCAGTCAGGTCATCTAGACAGTTTCTTTTTTTTGTGCTGAAACATTTCATCTGCCATCCAGAATGCTTCATCAGTCAAGGAAACACACAACATAAAACTGATTCTTCCCCCAACAGCTTACTCCAAAGTGAAAGAAACCAGTTATGTTTGTGCTTAGATGGTCTCTTTGGCACGCCCACTCCTCTAGTGCTGGCCCTTTCCCTCATCGACAGTCATGTCAAACTGGTTCAAAGTCCATGCTCAATAATCCAGGTATACAATCCAAAAAAAATCATTCAGATCATCTGGACAGTTTCTTTTTTTGTGCTGAAACGTTTCACCCTCCATCCAGAAGGCTTCATCACTTAAAGAAACATACAACACAAAACTGATTCTTTCCCCAACAGCTTACGCCAAAGTGGAACAAACCAGTTATGTTGGTGCTAAGAAATGTCTAGATAACCTGACTGAAAATTGTTGGATTGTATACTTGGATTATTGAGCATGGACTTTGTTGCTTTTAGTTAAATGTTTTTCTTACTGTTTTTATCAGCTGTTCTTACTGTTTTTTAATCAGATGTTGTTTTATCAGCTGTTCTTACTGTTTTTTA